CCTAACCCTAGCCCTAACCCTTAACCTAACCCTAAACCTAACCCTAACCCTTAACCTAACCCTAAACCTAACCCTAAACCTAACCCTTACCTTAAATTGAATTGGCTTGCTTTCAAAGCGCTATTTAAAGCGCCCTTCTTTCTCCGCGCTGGCTGTTTTTGCCCTGTTGATGATGTCAGCGATGCGGTTTAATTGGGCGCGGCTTAGTCGAGCGCGGTTTTGATGGGTCACGCCTTTTTGGCACTTTGCCGCAACTACTGTAGGGGTGTGTTGGGAGAGAAAAAAAACACCTTCAACTATCTATGTTCATGTATGTTATTTGATGTTGAACTTTTGATAGAGCACAAACATTTAAGGAAGTTAATATTTCAATAAAGTGGTGTCATGCCCTAATTAACTCTGTTTCCTGCTGACTCAACCAAGTCAGTCATAAAATTATGATGTTCCCTTAAAAATAAATAAAATTGTGCAAGGAAAGTTGAATAAATTCCAAAATAGAGAAGGCATTTCATCTACCGGTGACTTTCTCAACCTCAACAATTTTTAGCATTCTGGGAATCATGACCATTTTCCTGGCCTCCTATCAAGGGTACCATGGCCCAGGGCCCCGTCATCATTTTCAAATTTTGATGCGACACGTCCATCACAGTCCTCAAAACGTTGTCATCGTTTTCAAAACGTTTCCCAAACAGAATGGATGACATGATGTTGGTGACTGCAGTTTCAAGAAATGGACGAGGATCAAGAGGTGAATCTGCAGGGCAAACCAAAAGAAAATAAGATTAGCATTAATCCTGTGATGCAAGAACAAACACAACCCTAACCCTACAACCAGAATGCTAAGCTCTTCCCACTCTGCATCAACACACACAAACTCTCTCTCTCTCTCTCTCTCTCTCACACACACACACACACACACTCACACACACACAAATATAGGTCTAACTGTGAGGAAAAAAGAAGCAACATTGGTGTGATGATTCCCCAGCTATCCCGTCCTGTCCCAGGTGAGCTTACCTGAGTTTTCAGCAAATGCTTCAATCAAACAAGTTGCCTCCTGCAAAATCTTCTCTTGCATTGATTTTTTGCCCAGTCCAAAGTTCCTGAGAAGCATCAGTGAAAACCTTCGTTGTTCTTTCCATGCTGGGCCGTAGGGTGCTAATATTATGCCTGTAAAAATGAGAGACGGAAAATGAAGCAATGATAAGGATTAAAAAAATGCTTAGAGGGAATGGTAAAACAGCGAATAGAGTTAAAACCAGAGCTATTTCTATTAGGCATATTAAGAGGGAAATATAACAAAAAAAAAACCCCAATATTTAAAGCTACATGTAATAACGTCGGCCAGAATTGTATATGCTCAAAATTGGAAAAATGGAAATATACCCTCTGAAGAAATAGTAGTAAAGAAAATATTAGACTGCACTGAGATGGATAGGTTGACAATGGAAATCAAAGACAAAGGAGAAGCCAAATACTATTTAATTTGGGATGTATGGTATAATTGGCTTGATAATAGATGCAAAGATTAGAAAATTAATGATGAAAGATGATTAATGAATTCAAAATTAGAAAAAAGTGTAAACATAATGAAAGATGAATATTTATTATATATAATAGTACATAATGATAAGATACTACAAAAATGTAAAAAAAATATCTAGAATGATAACCGTATAATGTATACATACGTAATAATATATATAAATGTAAAATAACTGTGGATATAAACCGGTATAGAGTTGTTACAAAACTGGAACTGTGATGTAAAATGAAGAAAACTGTACAATAAAAAATATTCAAAGCTTTAAAAAAGAAAAGAAAATGAGGCGATGGAACTACAGTCACTGTTTGAAGTTACGATGGCACTGGGGGGGAAAGTGACTGATGACTGCTTCTCACACTTACGACCATTGAAGCAGCCCCATAGTCACATGATCAAAATTCAGTTGCTTGGCACCTTACTCATACTTATGACGGTTGCAGTGTCTCGGGGTCATGTGACCTTTTGCGACCTTTTGACAAGGACATTCAGTGGGAAAGCCCGATTCACTTAACAACTGTGTTTACTAAGTTAACAACTGCAGTGGTTCACTTAACGACTGTGGCACAAAAGGTCATAAAATGGGGCAAAACTCACTTAACAATTGTCTCACTTAGCAACAGAAATTTTAAGCTCAATTGTGGTCATACATTGAGGGCTACCTGTATTTATCCAATGGTAAAACCTGATGAATTAATTAATCAGGCTATGGATTCACGTAGCCATCGATCTTATAATTGCCAAGGTAGCATAAACATCCAACATAAGCGAACAACAAAAGTAGAGAGAAAAATAGTGGTTAGAAATGATATATTGGTACCTTTTTTCTTAAGGATATCATCCACTATTGGATTATCTGCCCTCCCAGCAAATTCTATGCCTTTTGTCACCAAGACCTCTTTGGCTGCAGAAAACCCATGAGTGAAGACCGCAAACGTTCCTCCGATGTAGAGACTGAAGACAGGACCATATTTTTGGGCTAGCTGAAATGAAATCACCGGGATTAATTTAGAATTGGGGTCGGCAACCTTAAACACTCAAAGAGCCACAAAGGTCCTAACCGGAAGCCTCCCGTTCAATTCTGGAGCCAACCAGAAATCCTGTTTTCCCCACCATAGAGTCTCCTCCTAGCATGGCGTCCTTTTTCCTCTACCTGTCCTAACTGAAAGCCCTCCCAATTGTGGAGCCGATCGGTGACAGGGAGCCTCAGCAAAGGGATGAAAGAGCCACATGTGGCTCCAGAGCCACAGATTGCTGACCCCTGACCTAGAAGCATCAGGAGATTGGTTGGAAGCAATCACTTGCAAGGATGCAACACGGTTGAGACGCAAGAGTTGTTGAACCTGCATCACAGGCCATCTCCTTCCAAAACCTTCAGCCTATCCTTTCCCCTCCTATTTGGGCATAGATGCAACTTCTTATATGCAGAAGACTGATGGGATCTGATGAGTAGAATTATATCATTAAATGAAATGGGTTTGATTGTAAATTGTGACCCATCCAAAACTGGATTTCATTCTGGTAAATCTGCAGACAAGCCAAATTATCTTCAACATGATGTTGAAAAATATAGCATGGTCACTCAAGGGTGCTTTTCCTAAAGGCAACTGGACTTTCTCAGTTTTTATTTGAAAATATTTCACTTCTCTTCATAACTAAAGAAGCTTCTTGGATGGGAAGCTAAACAAAACCAAGAAAATCCATTTATCTCTTGGAAAAAGCACCTTTGGGAATAACTATGACCTGAATGTGTAGAATTTATATTTTACCAATGAAGAAATAAAGGGGGACTAGTATAGATCTATTTCAAGCTATTTAGCTCTGAAAAAGTTTGTCACGAAAGTGGCTGCCTCTGAAGGCGGATTGGGGCTGAAAGGCAAAGGCGGAAGCAGTGTACATCCATCCCATATTTGGGTAGACCAGGTTGCCCTGATAGACCGGTCCCACTGGACAAAACACTTAATCTTTCCCCTGGTATAGTCAACCAAAGCAAGGAGAGCCTGTGGCTTAGAGGTTACAACATCTACCTAATAAGCCAGTAACTGCCTGGGTTTGAATCCCAAAAGGGGTATGGCTAGCTGATGAGAGCTAAATAGCTTGAAATAGATCTATACTAGTCTCCCTTCATTTCTTTGTCAGTAAAT